GGGGGTGTTGAATCTCACTCAGTCAACTTTGCAGCTTTTAGGGGCTGCCTTTCAGTGGTACGTGGGGCAAGAGGTGTGAGCAGGCATGAAGAGATGAACAATATCAGGAGATTTTCTCTCCAAGGGGGCAGGGCATAGGATTAGTCGGAGTCCCAGCTACGGGGTCCCGAGATCTCAGATGGGGAACTCTGAAGGCTGAACTGGTGCCCCACGGTCCTTGCAGCTGGTAAGGAAGCACCAGCCGCCTTTCCAAGGACAACTGGGCCTCAGTGGGACATGCTGGGAGTTGGGTTGCTGGCTTCTGCCACTGGCATCCCTGCCACCTCCCCTTCCCTTCCCCAGTGCCTAAGCAGCCATCGAGACAGAAGACTTGCTGCAGTTGCCACCATGGGTCTCTCCATGCGTGATGTGAGGTCTTCGCCCACCGCCATCCACTTCCTCACAGTGAGCTTTTACGAAACGAGTTGCCCACAGACAATGGTGAAACCAAGACCAGACTACATGAAATCCTCCTATTGCATCAAGGCAAACGGTTTTTTCCCACTGTTAATACCTGGTGGGGGCGATATACCGGTCGGGGCAACCTTCTCCTCAACCTGATGGACTCCAGATGGTTTGGACTTCAGCTCCAGCCAGCACAGACAATGGTTGGGAATACTTGTAATTGTAGTTGAAAACTACAATTCCCTGGATTGGAGCTCTCCAACATTTCCGGATCCAACAGGATGTCTGAGAACCTAGTTACTGTTGCAGGAGCCTGACTAGTCAAAAATGAGCTAAAGGGGTGTGTGATAGGGCAAGGAAAGAGAAATGGTGAGGCCAGGAGGAGGTGGAAATGGCAAGGCAAAGGAGAAGAAGGGAGAGAGCAAGACTATGGGCTTGAAAGGGAGACAAAGAAGACAACTTGTTTTAGAAGGTGGCTTAATGTTTTGTTTCTTTTTCAAGGGACAGCTCTGTGGATACTGTTGGAGCATTCTTCATGGGCCCCTGCAGGATTGCTGTGAGGATAAATGGGGGCGAGGGAGGAGCTTGCATGCCACCCTCAGCTGCTTGCAGGTCAGAAGGGACAGAAAAGCAAGAAAAACACCCTTCCCTCTTATAGCCTTCCTGCACGAGGCACCGATTGTGTTTCTTACTCATGATTGTTTTTCAGTGAGGTTGCAATTCTCATTTTGCTTTGCTTTTTGAGAGCACTTCTTTTTTTTAGGATGGGGAAAATGGAGTCGTTTTGCCTGGTCTAAGTGCGCTATTCTGCTGTAGCACAGCTCCATCTAGAGGTTGTATAGCAGCAACACAGGAAAGGAAGAGCTGTTGGTATAGAGCTCAGATCTCAACGCTGTGATGAAACTGAAAGTAGATGTAACAATTAATAGCCAGTGCAAAAAAAAGCCCATAACTTTTTATTCCACAAAGATGTCCTTAGTGGGATTTCTCTGAATGGTTCCACCCGCTCCTCGTACTGGTCTTTTCCCTAAGGTCAGGGGTGCAGAACCTCAGACTCGGGGCCAAATTCAACATTCAGGAGGTTCCAATCTGACCCTCTGTGATTCTCTACAAGGCCTTGCCCCTCTTCCTGGCCCCATCTCCTGAGTTCTTTGGAGCTTTTCCCCTCATACTAAAAATCTGAAATGTCTCTCCATGGGCTTGGTTTGTACAACCCAGGAGGAAACAATGAGAACCACCAAACGAACAAAGGAGATGGATAAAGCAAGAAGTTCCAGGATCACCAGCAGATCTCTTAAAAGAGATGAAAAGGGAAAAACTAGCAGGGCCAAGGTCCATTGAATGTGCAGGCACTCACAAAAAACCACCAATTTGTTGTGGGTTGTAAGTAAATAAATATGTAAATAATATTTTAATTGACGTTTAAAGATAGAAATATATACTGTTCCTAAACTCTAAATAGGTGGAAGTCTTCCTTTCATTAAATCAAATTGAGATTAGGGGCTATTCCATCCAAGTCTCTTGGGCTTAGGAAAGTGCAAACATTTTGTTGTTAGTGATAGCTGAGGTATCTCAATTGCCTAGAATAATTGTTTGGGGGGGGGGGTCTTTCATTTTGCCCTTTCTAGATAATAGTTCAAACACTTGAAAGTATTATATTTTTAAATTTTCCTCTAGGTCAAAAATTCCCCTTCTATGGAAAGCTAGCATTGCAAGGAGAAAGGGGACATTCAGATATGCAATTCTGCATCTTTTCCCATTAATGCTCCAATACGGTTATCCTATCACAACCACCCACAGTTTACAAGCAGCATGTTGTTGAAAAGACAAACAGAAGCGAGCTAGTGTGCAGGTTCTCAGCAACCTGGAAATGTTTAACCATAGGTAGGGGAGTCTCTCTCATTCTCCCAACAACCCAGAGTTTGGGTTGGAATGTTTGGCGACACCACTGAATTGCTTAGCTCTGCTTGGCTGCAGCAGAAGCAGGCAGAAACAAGCACACTTGTTTGTTTGCACCGCATTTCCAACAACCCACAGTTCGTTAACTGTGGCTTGTTGCAGTGTGCAGCTTTTCTGTACACGCATTTCAACAATATTTGAGTTTTGCTGAACGCTACAATCAATTACAACCCATGCTCCAAAGCTAAACTCGTAGTCAAATCCTAAACCTCAATGCTAGAAATACTGGTTACGAGGATTCGACGTTTACAATGTTGTGGTTTGTTCTCCCGTCACTTACATCTTTTTTCTTTTTTGCTGTTAAGGGATAGCAAATCATCTTGGGAAGCAAGATCTTGGGATCACTGTCAACCCTACAGGTTAAAAAGAAACAAGGAAGTCACAAGGCAGGCAATCCTTTATGAGGAGCCAGCAGTGTTCAGGACATGGTGTACATTTTTAAAGAGCTACGTGGAAGTCAAAAGCCTGCACACTGCATTCTAAACACTCCTAATAAAAGATGTTAGCTCAGCTGTGGATGCAGCAGAAGAATTACATGAGCTTTTCGAAAGTTAAACAATGAGCAAGACAGATTTTCAGTTGCAGGTGAAAGAAATGTCATCACCCAATGATCAAATTGGTGCAAAGAAAGTAATACATAGTGTTCTTTAGAAAAGCGCATACTATTTACACATTTTCAATATTTCCTTAAAAAACATTGATCAGGCAGATTAAATAGAAGTATATAACATTTCTTTTTCGATATATAAATTAAACTCAACTGGTTAAGTAGTAAGGTGCTCAGAAATGTGAATGAAAATAGAGCCCACAGCACAGCCTTTGTGTGAATCTTAATTTATTTACAATATTTCTTTGAAATGTCCTTTACCTTCCAAGGACACTTCAGTGCAAAATACCTGTGGCAAAAGGACCATTGGGTGTCTGCTAATCCTGGAAACACTTATAAGTGCAATTGTCTTGTATGCATAACATCTAAAACTGCTGTCCTGAAACCAAAAATTGTTACCATTCTTTTTCAAGGTTATTTTCACTCCTAATAGATGCATGAAAGGCCTTACTAACATTCAAGCCTTTGGCTTTCTTTAGCCTTTCTCAGCCTGAGTCCCTCCCGGTGTTTTGGCCTGCAGCTCATGTCATTCCTGACCATTCCCCATTTTGAGTAGGGCTAATGGGATCTGAAGGCCAGAAGCATTTTGATAGGAGCAGATTGGGGGCAAGGCATAATACTACCCATGTTTAGACAGAATATACTGTTAAAGGACTTTATATTTCAACATTATAAATATGTTATATTTATAACATATTTTATAAATATATGTTATATTTATATATATATGTTATATTATAAAAAAAATCCTATCTAAACATGCATAGGACTGAATCCTTAATTATTGTTTTTGAACAAGCAATCCAGAGGCAGAGTCAAAATAACATTTCACATCAGTTCACAATTTGGCAGCATTGCCAATTTTTATTTCAATTGTAAAAAGTCTCACCTTTTCTATTTTGCTTTTGACTTTGCTGGATACTAAAAAACAAAAAAATGACTCTCGTTGATGAACTTTAAGGCAATGACAATGTCATTTTGCTATACTCAGTACTTGTGAAGCTGCTAGGGAACATCTTAGGTGGGGGATTCCTGGATATCACCTCCTAAGCTCCCAGTGACCCACAGAATTATGGAATCATGGAGTTGGAAGGGGCCATGAAGGCCATCAGGTCCCAGTTCAATGACAATATATACTTAACCCCAAACTCTTGAGTTGTCATTATCTGCAGCCAGGCCACAGAAGGTAGAATCCTGATATTTGGACTTTGGCTCCCATAAACCAATGGTCAGGAAGGGTAGGAACTTAAATCCCAAACATCTGATGATCTGAGTTCTACCTTGTCTATGGCATTTTAATCTATTTGATTTCTATGCTAAAATAAAGCTTGTTTTAATCTTGTTTATTACCATTAGCCTGCTTTCAGCACTATTTTGCTTGGTGGAAAGGCCAGATACAAATCTATGAAACACGTTTCAACTTTTGCAGTGCGATGCGCAGATGCCCTCCCAGCAAAGACGTTGTAAGAGTGATGGAAAAAATAACTGTGAAATGCTTGGGCTCTTGGGAAAAGTGCCATAATAATGTGAGTTAAGATGACACTAAAAACCCAATTATGTAAAGCAGGATCCCTCCAATTAGTCATAAAACAAAGTGGATTTGGATCCCCTTTGTAAAATTAACAGTTTAGCATCGCTTCTGTCTAGAAATTCCCTTCATGGGAGACTGTTGTCCAGAACATACCCCTGAAGGAATGAGGCGAGGCCGTTAAGGCAATACAAGAACCTCAAACATTTCATTCACACCTCTGGATTCCTTTTAAGATCACTCCCAAGGCATCAAAAGGGGAACTTCAGTAACCTTAGGGTTAGAGTTATGGTAACCTTAACATGAAGGCATTTCAATAATGTGGGAAAAAGAATGGACATATTTCAGGTATGATCAAACCTTTGTTGCCATTTAGCATTGGGTAATTAGTATGTAAAAGCAGAAGTATTTTTAGAGTTAACCATGAAAACCAGAAGCCTGGTTCATGTTTCTTTCTCCATTTTACCACCTCTCTTTATGATACACCTCTGTCTGCACAATCTCACTCGGGTGTTCCGCAAGACACGCCCCATTGATGTCTTTCAGTTTGTTGTCAGGCAGGTCCTCTGGCTTTGTGCAAAGTTTTAACGCCCTCGAAATAAATACATCCAAGTCAAACTGAGGGTCACCTTTGCTGTCGACCTCCTTGGACTCTTTGTGGAGGTGGTGAGGAGAAGATGGCAAACTCCGTTCCTGAATCTCCGGAAGGGGATTGGGACATTCGAGGCCAGTCTGGGTGCTCGTCACCCACTGTGCTATCTCTAGGAAAAGGTTTGACGGCTCCTCTTCTAACGTGAGCTCGGCTGTGGGTGCAATAGATGCTCTTTTCCAGTGCGACAAGTCCAAGATGAGCTTGGGCTCTGAATAATGGTGGAGTTTGTTGTCTCTCCACAGCAGCTTGTCTAAGTAGGAGGGCGAGCCCACTTTGTAATCACAGGAGTGCCCAAATTCCCCTTCCGACGCTCTGTCCATTGAAGAATGCGACTGCTCCAGGAATCTCTCCGAACTGCTCTGGGAGTATTTCCGCGGATCGACCTGAGCTTCCTCAGCCATGGATTCTGATCCTGCGCGAGGATCACGTTGCACCCCGTCCAAATCGTGGCACTTCTCGTGTCGCCATTCCAGATCCGAGGACAAGCTCACCTGATACCTGTTTTGTTCAAAATGACTACAGTGTTAGGCACACCATGCAATACTTAATGTCTCAGGTGCACAGTGAAATCCCCCATTATCTGCACAAGATGCCCTTTTTGAACTACTCATCTCAACGTCATATGGTGTATTTTATCATATTTGCGTTTTACCATCATTATGTTTATTATTGTACCCCCATTTATGAATTGCTGTGAAAGCATCAGGAGTTTCAGCTATTGGACAGTACCAAAATGAAATAACAACAATTTAAATCTTGTCTTAAGTTTTTCAGAATTTTCCACGTGGCTTACATAAGAAGCATATCAAACATCTAAGATTACCTAAAATAAATCTTTAACATAATATAAGCATCTCCTAATGCCTAACTACATATAACCTGGCCTATAAATGGATTTAATGTATATTCTTCCTTGCTTGCCTTCCATGCCAACTTCTTTTGTCCCCTCCCCATTTTGACCTTTCGATTGTAAACACGGGGCAATAATGACCCATTTAATAATAAGTATTCAGTCCTTTTGGCTTGGAGAAGGCAGTGTTTACAGTCCAGCAACTGCAGATGGAAGTCTTAACTATTAGAATGATCATAGTTCTTGTTATTGGATTTAGACCTCTTCCTTTACTGCCTAAGTACACATAATGGAATGAATGCATATTCCTTTTTCAGTCTGGAACATATGCAGATCTTGGCATACTCAGTATCCAAAGGAAAAAAAATGAGAGAAGCTGAATTCTGGGACCTCCATAACTTATCTAAATTAAGCACATGTCCATGCATTAGCATGCTTTGAAATTATTGTAAGTTGCCCATAGAGTTTTGACTATTGGGCAGTAATTAATTAAAGGACTGATTAAAGGATAGCTGGTCTTAAAGAGTGCTGATGAGCTATGCAGAGGAAATCAAGTCCTGAGCATGGAATACCAGATTCCTGTTCTGTTCATGGTTGGGCTTCAGATTGTTCACAAGGCATTGATGCAACATTTGCAAACCTGGCTTTACAGCCTTAAGGGCTAGAGACTTGCTGAGGCAGATGAACTTGTGCTCCTGTCCTAGAGGGCAACAGAAACATTGACTGAACAGTGCAAAGGGGTGTCTTTTAAACTTTGTACTCTGTGCTGAATAAAAACACACTTAGAATTCTATATGAGAGACACACAAGTATAAGGCTAAATGTTGTGACCACTATAAATTATGCAAATAGGGCAAATCTGCATAAGTGACCTTCTTTTGCAAAATTTACTCTAGTTACGAGTTGGTGAAATTTATTCTGGACTTGGTAGTCATGAGAAAGGATAAGCCTAATTCTCAACAGCTGGAAATCCTTCAGTTCATTTCTATGGGTTCATCAGGCCTTTCAAAAAAAATCCTAGCATCAGTAAGGACTAGAAACATTCTGAAAGAACTAAAAGTGGAAATTCTCATGAAATGAAATTCTGCTGTCAAGTTCACATTGTGTGCTCCTAGAAGATTGTGATATATGGACAATCTAGTGAATAGATGTACCTCTCCCAATTGGACATCTGGCTTTGGTTGGCTTCCATCAGTAAAATATCATCTATCTCATCTTCAATCCGGAAAGGATGTTGAGAAACGGGCTCATCCTCAGGACAATAATATGGACTCATATAAGGATGCTGCAGCCCCATCTCTGCAGTCAGGCGGTCCATGGGATTGAAGGTGAGTATCTTTTCCAGAAAATCAATAGCTGTGCATAGGAGAGAACAGATAATCAGGCTGTTTATGTGCACACGCAGTTCTTCCTCCCGAAGAAAGAGTCTCAGCGGACCATTCTCTGCATGATAAGAACAGTCACCCCTGAAATCAGATAAGGACTTAATCTTTAAGTCCTCTTTCTATTTAATTATGGGCTTTAATTGTCCTTGATTCAAAAGCAGAACTCTAGGAATGACATGCACACTTGGAAAGGCTGGTGTGCCCTGTGATTCCGAGTCCCCTTGAAACCGTGACAGGAGTCAAAACAGAGACAGCTAAACAGAGCCAGGTCTACAAAATATGACTGGGGGCTCCGCATTGTGCATATCTACCCCGAAATAAACCCTCCTTCCTAGTTGATGGGCAGGGAAGGTAGACTAATCCCGCTAAGGGATGTTGGCCATCTGGCCCACTAAGCCTTCTTAGATTCTCCCAGGGGGCTCCAAGCCACACCCCCTGTTGGAATCTCCACTGCTTTCTCCAATCCCATGTTGGAGGCACAGCAATTGGTGATGAAGATGATGGGACTATTGCTGTGCTCGCTGATATCATCCTGGCCACAGAAGCTCAGTGGGGGAGATTCATCCTCCCACCTAAAATGGGTGGCCAACTCCTGCCCCGATAGATGCATTTAGGATTGCAGCTTAACAGTGTGACCCTAGATGGGCTTACTCAGAAGTAAATGGCACTGAAGTCAATGATGCTTACCCCCAGGTAAGTGAGCATAGGACATTCCTGCTATGTCCTCCATTTCCCCCAGTCACAAACAGCCTGACACCATTAACTTAGCGCAAATTACAATTACCAGTTTAGTATCTCCAAACATTTTAAAGGGGGAAACAAAAATTTAAGGGTTTTCCCTCCTGCTGGAGGAAAAAAAGGGAAATGGTGAGGGGAGAAAATTTAAAACTTTCCTTATTTCTTATTAATATCAGTTCTATTTTTGTTAAGGCAAACAGATATAATGCCAAAAACCAATCATTGGTTTCTGACAGGTTCAAAATAGAAGTATAATATTGCATTTAAGATTGCAGGCTAAATAAATTGATTCTAGTTTTCAGGGTGAAAGTATCAGAGGGTAGTTTCTTTCCATGTCTGCACATTTGCACAAGCCCACAAAAATGTGAGTCAGTGGCTACCTTAAAAAGCAAAATCCCAAACTGATTTCTTGAAAGAACATTAGATGCATATTTCACCTTTCCTCCAAAAGCTCTGTTAGTTTTATCCTCAGAACATCCGACAGAGTTAGACTAAGAGATCACGAGTTGCCCACAAAAACTCAGGTTGAACCCAGGTCTCCCGCTTTCAGTTTGGCACTCTGACCACGACTTCACTATCCATATATCCTCTTTCACATAGAATTCCTATAGGGGTGACCAGTTCACACCAGCATCACTGGAGCAGTGCTGCAGAAACAGACCCACCTCTTCCAGACTTCCCTAATGCAGTTCCTCCAGATATTTTGGACTTCAGTTCCCATCTGCTGTAGCTGCTATGCCCAGTGGCCAAGAATGCTGGGAGCTATAGTCCAAAAATCCGAGTGACACCAGGTCAGGGTGGCTAAGCTAGAACCATCATTAGGGAAATATTTATTCTAGAATCCCAAACCCCCAACTGTTGACTGGGATGCACTGCTGTATGAAATGAAGCCAATGGATTTCCACTGACTGCTGCTGCCCAGGCAACCTCCTATTTTCCAGCAAAGGGTTCCACTATACGTGGAGCTCACTGTACCTTTGCTGTTCACTTTGGGGAGAAGTTTCCGCAGGGGCCTCTTCACCTCCCAGGTGCGGTTGACAAATGTTGGCATCACTTTCAGCAGTTCCTCCTTGTCTTCTTCACGGAAAACAGGGATGGTATCCAAAATCAGCTGCATCTGTTCCAGCTCGTGGCTTCCTGAACAAGCAAAGCAAATGCTGTTTATGGAGTTGTGCTTGGGATTCAAGCGGTTAATCTGTAGAATCTGCTCCTGGTTTCTTTGCAGAACTGCGATCTGAGCACTGCATGTGAAGCATTGACTTTTCCTGCTTTTTCACCATATAACCACTAGGTGGCAATGTAGTATAGCAGAATAGTGCAAATACACAATTGGAAAAACAGGGCTTTTTCCCATTTTCATGGACTCATAGAATAGTAAAGTTGGGGCCATTGGGTCCACCTGCCTGCTCAGTGCAGGACTCCTAGTTAAACTATCCCTCTCAGATCCCAGTCCAGCTGCATCTTGAATGCTTTCAGTGTGAAGGAGCCCACAACCTCTCTAGGTCATTGGTTCCGTTGTTATGCTGCTCTCGAAGTCAGGTCATTTTTCCTGATATCTAGCCAGAATCTGGCTTCCTGTAACTTGAAACTGTTATTTTGTGCCCTGTACTCTGAGATGACAGAGAAGGGATTCTGTCCTTCCTCTTTGTGGCAGCCCTTCAAGTACATGTAGAGTAATAACCTATGTCCCCTCAGTTTTCTCTTCCCCAGGCTAAACATGCTCAGTTTTTCCAGTCTCTCCTCATAGGGTTTTGTTTATAGTCACTGGAACATCCAGTTTCCCTCCTCTGAACCCTTTCCAGCTTGTATGCATCTTACCAGAACTGTGGTTCCCAGAACTGGACACAGTACTTTTCACAATTACATGCTGCATTTTCCCAGCTAAAACAGCTTTGCTACTCAAGGCATTTACCATGCATTTTCCATTCCCTACTTATAGTTGCTTACAGTTCTTTACTGGAAAATAAGTTTCTCCAGTTTTGCTCCTGTGACCAACAGGCCCTGGGAGTGGGTTTTCAGAGCAGAGAAATGTGTCAGTCTCAAAAAATTTGCTGAAAGCGTTTGTGAGGCACAGAAGTGAAGTTAGGGAGTTGTGATCTTGTCTAGAGAACTTGTCAACAACCTAGAGTAGGGAAGGGTGAGCACATGAGAAATGCCTTGTGCAAAAAAGCCCCTAGGCCCAGTTCACACATGCATTTTGCTACTTGATGATTGCTCCCTGTGTGAACAGGCTCCACGGTTCAGACTTGACAAAGGGTCCTCAAAGCACAAAATTTCTTCTGTCAAATCATCAAATATATAGCAAACAGTGATGAAAGATCAAGTGGTCCACATGTCTTTGTGAGCAGGCACTCATCTCAGGATCGCCACAAAGGAGGGCAGCTTTGCATATGCTAATCTATACCTACCGATGCAGACTGAGCAATAATTGCTAAATAATCAAATGGGGAAGACAGAAGCCCGGCTGACCTGCATGTCCACACACGGTCTCTTATCAAGTGTTAACAGTTGCTGGGTGATTTCAAGCCCTCCTCGGACTCTTTGGGCAGTTTCTGGTGGGGAACGTCTACCCTTAACACTTCCCTTCTGCATTGACAGTTTCAACCCACAATGTGCAATCAGGATCCACCACTTACACAAAGGGAGATGTGTTATTTCCTAGAGGTAGCAACAAAGTAAGAGGAAATACTCTTTTCTGGAAAGGGGCAGGTTGGACTTGGGCATAAGTCCCCTTACGCAAATTCTGCCTGCCTTGGTCCAGAAATGTGGATTTCAGCTTTTTCCAGCTTGTCCCTGGAAGTGCTAAATTGTGGTTGCGCAAGTGGTGGGAGATAGTCATTGGGACACAGGCGAATCGACATGGATCAAGCTGCCTCTCTGGAACTTGGCTGTTATCTTGTGGTCAGATATTGACTGGACAGCCATTCATGTCGGTGGCATTTCAAATAGATGAAGGGTGACCTCCATGGTCACTCTGTTGGGTCAGTGTGATGTTTTATGGGTTGACCATCTGACTAGACTTATAGTCATTCCTCCATACCCTGACAGTATACAACCGCCTTCTGCAATGTGATATCCTCTGGATGCTTGGGGCTTTGGTTCCCATCCACCCCAACCAACATGGTAAAAGACCATGGACACTGGGAGTTGTAGGCCAAAATACCTGGAAGGTGTCAGAGAGGGGAAGGCTGTTGCGTGTCGTCTTATGTGCAAATCAAGCTGCCTTCCCATATATCTGGAAAGAACTGCTCACTCCACTGAAAGGAATGGTAAATCCAGTTTGTTCCATCCTCCGAAATAAGTTTAATAATGATTCCTCTTCTGCTGGGAACTGTAGCACTGTAGGTATGGAGGAGCAGTCTGGCAGTCTCTCCCAGTAGCACGACTGAGGCTGCACAGACTCCCTGAGCCTCTCATTTATGGTCTCGGGTAAACTTGAAACGTGTACAATTTCTGTGCCTTGTCTTGGACTGGGGCCCTTGTTTTTCCAAAAACTAGAATGAAACAGGGTTCATAACTGACCCCTCCCCCACGACACACACACACAAGTGACCTAGTTCTGCTTTGCTGACTTTGCCCCGGAATTTGTATCATTTCATTTCTATCTTGCCTTCCTTCCATTATGGAACTCAGAGCAGTGAAGAAGGATTCAAGGCAGTCTCTCATCCAGGCCCTGATTCACTTGCAACCTGCGTACATTCACCGAGGCGGCTGGGCTATCAAACTCACTAGTTTTGGAGGATTTTGTTCCAGCAAAGCTTGTGGGGGAGCGTGCACCTGGCCAGACAATTTGTCCATCCAGGGGAGGGCAGTCTCCTCTAGGAGTAAGCAGTGGAGTTCCCATGGACACCCCACCTTTCTGTGCCTGGCAAGATGTCCACTGTTGCTACGTGCCCAAGAGGGAGATCATGTGGAGAAGGCCACCAGTCCCAAACAGAAAATCTTCAACAGCCTCAGCACTGCACAGCTCCCAAGAGTCTTTGATTGGGCTTCACAACAGTTAAACTAGGATAAAAGCCATACAAAACTTGGGTAGATGTACCTAAGCTTACAGAGACCGGGTTCAGACAACACATTAACCACACCCAGGGGATAAATGCAGGCTGTCCCTGAAACATGAGTTGAAATGTGAAGCTAGCCAAGATAACAAACCAGGATGAACAACCCAGAGTTTACAACTAAAGAACACGCCATGGGTTCTCTTCATGGGTTGTTTGTGTGAACAAGCCATGGCTTGTTAGTGCAGCTGGGTTCAGACAACAGGATAACCAACCATTCCACAACAACTCACAGTTCAATGGCAACCCAGCACAACCCACACTCAGCCCTTGAGGCTGGATTATCATTGTCTGTTGTTAAAAATGCCAAATTTCACCACTAGATGGAAATCAACAGCAGCTTTTCATGCCTGTGATAAATAGCCTACAGTTCAGATCCTCCTGTAATTAGATTTTATCCTGTCTATGCAATTTGCAGTTTACTAAAAAACTTGTTTACTTGCATGTTCCCATGATAAATGGCAGAGTGCACAGTGAAGCTGGAACAGGGTTGAATTTCAGCTGATCATCAGTTTTATAAATACTGAGGACACAATCCTATACATGGTTAAACAGAAAGAAGCCCCGGCACTTCCATCATGGAATTGCAGGGGAACGCTGGGAGCTGCAGGGCTTTTCCCATCTTTCACACGCATAGCACTGAAAGGGGACAACAGCAGGTCTGCTCCATTCATGGAAAGTGGGTGCGGACGACTTCAGTGCACCCACAACTGGAGTACTGTGTCCCACATTGCAAGAGAGACATAGCTAGGCTGGATCAGTTCAGCACAGGGTCACAAGGATGGCAGCCGGACTGGGGTGGGGGATGCCGTATGAGATGAAGTTGAGGGAGTCGGGACTTTTCAGTTTGGAGAAGAGGAGATTCCAAGGAGATCTTATAGCAACTTATAGGTATGTGAAGAGATGTCACATGGTGGAGGGTCGTGACCTGTTCTCCCCTGCGGTGGAGGGAAGGACACGATCTGATGGGGCAAAGCTAAAGAAACCAGGTTTTAGGTTGGATGTCAGGAAGTACTTCCTGATGGTTTGGACTACTAGTATATGGAATGGGCTTCCACGGGAGATGGTGGAGGCCCCACCAGTGAGGGTGTTCAGGGAAAGATTGGACACCCACGTGTTGGACATTATATGAGAGGAGCTAGCTTGTGCCAGGGGTCAGACTAGATGACCTGCAAGACCCCTTCTGACTTGCTATGTTTCTATGAGTCCATTTTTAACCACAGAGTGGGTAGATGGGTGAGGAACACAGACACATCTTTCCAGCCACAGCTTGTTCTCCTGCAGGTCTCACATCAAATATTTTGCTCCAGTTCTGGAGTCTAGGTGAGCCTCAGGAGTCTTTTCCTGGGGAAAAAGACTGCATGTGCTGAGCCGCACAGGCAGGAGTGAGAGCTCCACACCACTCCCCCACACATGCCTGCTGTTTACTGGATCCTGATTCTTCCCTCTTCCTGAACCTGGGGACCTGCCATTGCCACGTCAGGTTTGACGAGGGACCAGACTAGAGAACTGGATTCGTTTTGTTAAGGTTGTTCTTTCCCTGCTTTCTTGATTTAACTGTGCTTCAATGCATGTGTTTTACTGCTCTTTAAATCACAGTTTATTTATGCTTGTAAGTCACCTTGCATGGCGGTTTTCTGGGCAGAAAAGTGGGGTGGGTACAAGTCAATGAATCCATCTCAGAGAGACACCTCTTTTTCCAAGGAATCCTTGCATCTTAGTGGGGCGATTCCCCTTTTGTGCCAAAGAGCCAGGCAACCAAAGGCCTTGCTTTCAAATTGGTCTCGTTCAGGCGTGCCAGGAAAGAGACATCTGCAGATGTTGGTGGCCGTGGCAATGTGGCTCCGTCAGCAGACATCTGACCTGCCCCCCCCCCCCCCCCAAAAAAAACCATGCTGAAACACTGGCTGCTACAAGGGCTGCAGTCAGAGTGAAAGATCAGAGTCAGGAAAACAGGGGCCCTCGCTGAAGCTTGCGGCCTGAGCAAAGACCACATGAAGCATGGATGAAAGCAGCTAACGGTGCAGTCCCAGGCATGTTTCGACAGGAGAATGTTTTGCACTTTCCAGCACGTTTCAG